TCAGATTTTGCAAGATCTATAGTTCTATAACAGTTCTATAAAGAGTTCTGCCATATAAAAGCAAAAAAATTAATTATAAGGTACTAAAAAAAAATTACAATGCAACGAGTATACCGGTTGAGACGCCAGTTGAAATCTCGGAGTTACGGTTTATGTAAAATATTTTTCGAGTAGTTTTGAGCATATTGAAACATTTTCTAAAGAGTTCCGAGCGTTAGAATCTTTGTGTTATATTTAAAAAAATTAATATTAACCGAAAAGTAATCATGACAGAAGAAGATGAGACGCTGTGCGAAATCTCGGAGTTTTGGCTTATATAAAATATTTTTCGTATAGTTCTGAGCATACTAAAGCATTTTCTAAAGAGTTCCCGCCACTAGCTACGTTGTATATATATGTTTATTAACTTTAGCAAACACTAGCTACGTTGTATAATTTTTAAATAAATTAATACCGCTCGAAAATCAGGAATTTATCGAAAATAAGGTGAGAAGCTGGCCGTATTTCGGCAGTTCTGTGAGTTCTGCTATAATTCTCGTGTAGTTCTGAACGTGTTCTAACGTTGTCCCATTTTATTCTGGCAATAAGCATTATTTATTCATTTTGCTTCCTCATAGAAGAAGCTTTGTTTTCGTAAATTCGTATATGAACTTTTGATTGCGTATCAAGTTGGCTTTAATCAACCAAATTTAAAAGAATTATATATAAAATAGGGGTAGAAGAAACCAAAGAAAAGATTGTTTTTTGAGTTTTTAATGTCAATATGTTCAGAGTGTTTTAAAACGTCGAAATATCGCATTAAAAAAAATGTCGGTATGTGTGATTGTATGTCTGTGCCTTTACAGAAATTTCTATAACTCCAGAACTGATCAACCAAATCTTAACGAATTATATGTATATAAAATAGGGGTAGAAAAGACTGAAAAATATAATAAAATTAATAAAAATTGTTAATAATAAAGGGGTTACCGATTTCTGTTAAAAAAAAGTTTACCAAAATTTTTTAATTTTATTATATTCTTCAGTTTTTTCTATATTTCTATTTCATATATAATTCTTTAAGGCCGGTATTCATAGTCGGGTCGGTGTTAGAATTAATAAAAATTGCTAATAATTAAGGGGTTCTTTTTTATTAAAATTTTGAATTTTTGCAGAAATGTTTATGCTTTAATTTTCGCAAATTTGGAGATATCGATCTATTTCTAATTTTATTTAATTTTTCGGGAAATAATTGGCCGAATCTCAAATAATTATAGATCAAATTTCTACCAAAAGTATATGAAATAGGGTACATAAATAGAACCCTGATAAAGTTTGATATCGGGCTGTTTTTTTTTTTTTTTTTTTTTTTTTTTTTTTTTTTTTTTTTTTTTTTATCAATAGAGTATCATTCAAGGAAGGTCGGTATTGAATTTGGCGATGATCGGTAAAGAGGTTTTTTGCAAGTAGAAACCTTTGCTTACAAAGCTTCCTCTATGAGGAAGCCAAAACAAATAGAGGAAGCTTTGTGAGCAAAGGTTTCTACTTGCACACTTAAAAACTATGAGGAAGCAATGTGCAGGTTTCTACTTGCACACTTTACTTGTTTTAAATAATTCTTATCGCTCGAGAAAGACGACCCTATTCTCGATAAATTCCTGACTTTCATGCGTTATTAATTTATTTAAAAATTATACAACATTGCCAATGCCCGGAACTCTTTAGAAATTGTTTTAGTATGCTTAGAACTGTACGAAAAATATTTTATATAAGCCAGAACTCCGAGATTTTCTACAGCGTCTCACCCACATACCCGTAAATGCGTCTTTCTTAGTCGATAAAAATTATTTAAAATATGAATAAATAATGCTTATCGTCAGAACTCTTTAGAAATAAACGTTAAAACACGTTCAGA